GCAGGGGACAGCTGATTACCAAAGCAAAACACACAGACAAGATGTCATGGCAGGGATCTGATCTCTGCTATCAATAGAAGAATAAAGAAGTTTGAAACATCACACTGATCAGCTATGAAATGGTAGTGGAAGGGGGCAGGAATGCAGGCTTTGATGCTCCGAGTAGCCAGCCTTTACTGCCAAGTGAAAGCACACCTATGTTGATTAAATAGCCATCCTGATTTTGAAAGAGAGGCTCTTCCAGGGTATTGCTTTATTTAAAGGCTTCCACTATTTTGCCTATTGACACTACCAGAAACAGTTGGTGGATCTGCAAGTCCAAAAGCACCTCCAGAATGTCAGTATTTTGCAGGCGGGGTTCAGGCGCACTAGAACTGAATATGAACCCCTGGCATGTTCCTGTGAATCATTTGCATTGGGTAATATAATATGCTTATTGTACAGCCTGCTGTTCTTCCAGAAAACAAATTACCAGACGATCCGTATTTGCATCAATTAGTCACACACACACCCCAAAAAGCCCCTACAACACTGTAAGTTATTGCTCTACTTTTAAGTCTCATTTGTTTTTGCAGCTAGACAAGTTCACATATTTCATGAGGATGGACACATATGCAGCAATGAGGATATACATTATTCATCACTCTCAAGCCTACAGAGCCAATCAGGTCTAATTGGTTGTGTGCCCTGGTCCTCCCTCCTCCCTCGCTTATTTGGCCACCTTTGTCTCTTGGAAAGTATCCAAGTCTAATTCTGTAGCAATTAATGTCACCCTGGTTTACAAGGCAATCAAAGCAGATGTGTATGTAACTAGGGCCTGGATCAAGAGCTAGTATTGTCAGGCACCCACAAAGGCCCCTTCCTCTGTAGGGGGGGCACTAGCAACCCCCACAGAGCCCCCTGACCCTCCTCCTTGCTGTCGCTTCCAGTTCACTTCAAGGAGGCTGTAGAGCAGAGCCAGTGAAAGGGGTGGCAGGGAAGGGGTGGAGCTTCTTGTGATTGGTGCTGCAGATAGAGCGTCATCAAGGCAAGGAGTGCCACGCATAAGTAGGTAAATAGTTAAAACAGAAAAATAATAATTGAAAAATTGAACACTGTTCTCCACAGATTTTGCAGGTATTGCCTTTAAATCACAATCGGGGGGGGGGGCAGACCTGCCATGCCCCCATAAACTGCCTAGCTGTGCAATGGGCATTCTTCCTCCTGTCACTGCTTGACCTATTTCACAAGAGATGCAGCAAGTGAGAGAGGGTGAGCAGAGAGAACTGTATAGTCGGACATATTTATGGGTTTTGCATCTATATTAGGGCTTGTGCATGAGCATGTCAATCCAATTTGGGGCCTGCCAAAGCGCTTCAGAGTGGCTCAGTCCAACCCTAGGGCTAACCCGTTTCAGATCTGGGCCCTGAATTGCCTGGTGGAGGGGCTTGAACAGTCAGGCAGTCAGGATGGGGGAGAAGGAAACATTCCTGTTCTCTCTCTCTCTCTGTCTCTGGTCCTTGTGGGCAGGCCGCTGCTTTTGACAACTCCCAGATCACTCCAGGTGGATCAAGTCTGATCTAGGACAATCTGGAGCTGCCTCAACCTGATCTGACCACATCATCCTGATCCAGTTCAGGATCTGGGATTTAGCCAGATCCGGTGCATGGTCCTAGTATGCGTCTACCAGCAAGGCACAGTAACCACATGCCCTCCAAGAGTCTCGTTTTAGGCGGGACATAATGGGTTGACAGAAGCTGCCCTGGCTTCTGATCCCAATCTGGGATGTCTCATTTCGGCTCCTGTGCTCTGGCCACTGCAGATCGTGGGATCAAAAGATGTGTGGTTTTTTGTTCCCTCTGTAGTGTGAGTCAGTTGGCTCACACCAGAGAATGGGAGCAAAAAAATGGGGGGGGGGGAATTGACCCTGCCACTTTTCTTCCTTCATCCATCGCAGAACTTCTGGAAGCTGGCTTCCAGAAGTATGTCTGGGGTACCGGTGGAGGAGGATGTGGCGGAGGCTGCAGCTTTCCTTAGGACATGCTGGTGGGCTGGTGCAGCCTTCTGCCAGGTCACACCAGCTGGAGCAGCATCTCCTGAGATGGCAGAGGCTAAGGCCCTGGAGGAGGAGGAGGAGGCAGAGGCCAGAACTTGAGCTGGCAAGCAATGGGGTCAGTGGGATGGGGGGGGATGTCCTTATTTTCCTGCTTGAAATGTGGGGGGGGGGTAATTAACCAGTGTTTCTATTTACTAAATACTAAATTACTAAATAGAGTTGCTATTTAGAGTTTATTTTGTATGAATTATTTCATAGTGGTTTCTTAAAAAATATTTCATTGCGAAAAGCCATGCTGTTAATTCATTTTTCAAAATGTTAGATCAATAATGAAATAAAAGCTCCTGGGGATGGGGAAAGCAAAAAATTAAAATTGCTTACGAACAAGACATACTTAATCTGCATCCACATTTTAGTCAATTATCAGAATGGGTAACTGAGGCTGAGAGCTGAATAATACTTATTTGCAGAAGCACTTATTCATAGTGTCTATAGAAAAATGAGAGAGGGAGAATCAACTAAGATCATTAAAGGTGTTAATTTACTATTTGCTGGCATTCTCTGTAAAATAAATTGACTGGTGTGTTGTGTTGTTGTTTTTTAAGTATCTTGACTGAGTAATAAATTAGTCGAAGCTCCACAGGGGAAAATAGCATCACTCCCCAAAATAACAAGCAGCAACCTTTAAACCTTTGGAAGGAACTATCATTGGCTGATGAATTATTCGAAGGGCAATCCTCTGCTATGTTTAACAGCAATCTCTGAAAGCACATAAACACCTTGTGATTGGTTGAACATCACACATTCCTTGCTGATACTCCAAAACTGAAGGTAGGCTAAAAATAATCTTTCCACAAATTGCACACTGTCCAAAAAAGAAAAGGAAAAAAAATAAAAAATCCTGGGCTGAATGAATTTAGCAAGGGCATTCCCTTAGGGTTCTTCTGGAAGTCCTTAAAAGTACCTAATCCGCAAGCTGACCTGGTAAGGAGGGGGAATGAATTGCCCACCACATGTCGGCTGCAGCCGAAATGGAAAAGCTGATGGACTGTGAAGGAACCCTAATTCAGTGTTCCTTTCTTCTTCTTCATATAAACAGCTGCTTCTTAGACCACCTGGACTCAGAGCACCTTGAAAGCATCCAATGACCGTGCTATACCAGCAGCTGCTAAAGCAGACAGAATATTGGCCTGATAATGAAATAGGCAATCATGATCCTATGCGCTCCCGGCAGGAGCTGTTGGTTGATGGGAAAACGATACTGCTTTAAACAACTGTATCAACACTGATAGATAATGCAATAGTGTCCATGACAACTCCACCATCACACATCAATCACAGCATTATATACCATAGGCTAGTCAAGCAGAGAAGGAACCAATCAATCCACTGTGAGGGTAAAACCATTGCATGACTCCACCCTTTCCTATAACACCTTCATGCTGCACAACATGCTCAAAGCATTCCAATAAGGGATTGCCTGCCTGTGTCAAGATCTCCTTTGTAGTCTTGGGAGTATGAGTGCACTGAGGCCTGAAAGCATCCTACTGCATGGTGCACATTCCAGGAAACCTTTAGCTTGATACATGGGACTGGATGGCAGATTACACACATATAATATTAAAACGGCCCATCCAATTCTTCCACCCTTGGAAAGTTAAATATTGCCTATGCAATTGTGCAAATCATTACAGAGCTTCCCACACTCTTCAAGCAAATGCAGTAGGCACACATGGCTCACCAACAACACTTGCGCAGGCAGAATGTCATAGTGCAAGCCCGATCCAAGCCAGCCATTCCATAGGCCTCAGTTTATAGCCAGTAGTAAGTGGGTCTCCCCCACCCTTCCGGCCCAGTCTTAGCCGCTTAGTAGCAACGGCCAGGTAGTACAATGGAAAACTCTGTGCTTTGATGTGTAATTCAGTGTGTTGCTTTCAACCTGTAAAGCCTTGATAACATGGGGCCCTACATCCTACCCTACTTCCTCGCCAATATCTCATCATTGTTTCTAAGGCCACTGTGAGCTGGATTTAACCAAGATAACTGAGTAGTCGCCCTCCCTAGGTAAAGGTAAAGGGACCCCTGACCATTAGGTCCAGTTGTGACCGACTCTGGGGTTGCGGCACTCATCTCACTTTATTGGCCAAGGGAGCCGGCGTACAGTTTCCGGGTCACGTGGCCAGCATGACTAAGCCGCTTCTGGCGAACCAGAGCAGCGCATGGAAACGACAAGAGGACAATTCATTGGGGAGTTCTTCCTTGCAACTCTTATATGAATAAATGACAGTTGTGCAAGAGCTCTTACATAATACCTGTTAAGCTTGGATCCTAGAACAATAGGCAAGTAGGATCCTAGAATGCAACAACTGATTGGCCTGCACCTAAACATTAGGAAGAACTTCCTAATGTTTAGGTGATTGGCCTGCACCTAAACATTAGGAAGAACTTCCTGACAGTAAGAGCTGTTCGACAGTGGAATTTGCTGCCAAGGAGTGTGGTGGAGTCTCCTTCTTTGGAGGTCTTTAAGCAGAGGCTTGACAACCATATGTCAGGAGTGCTCTGATGGTGTTTCCTGCTTGGCAGGGGGTTGGACTCGATGGCCCTTGTGGTCTCTTCCAACTCTATGATTCTATGATTCTATGATTCTATGCAGGAAAAGACCAATCAGGCTCCAGGAGGGAAGCAGAATCAGCCAATCAGACGGGACTCATTGTGTAAATAATGTATATAAAAGCATGAGGTTGGGGGGGCAATTCAATCACTGTTTTACAAGCTGCAATAAAGAGCATGAAATCACTACAGGACTCCGAGTATATTTCAATACCTATTCACCTCTATAGATTTTGTGCACTATAACTCCCTGGCACTTTTTCTCCCAAATCCAGAGCTCCATTCCACTTCTAGAGATGATGTCACAGAATCATAGAGTTGGAAGGGATCTAGTCCACCCCACAATGCAGGAATATGCAGCTATCCTTTACAGGGATCGAACCAGCAACCTTGGCATTATCATCACCAAGCTCTAACCAACTGAGCTATCAAACACCTTTATCTGTACAAAATCATTAGATGTGCAAGACTGTTATTTGAAGAGTGTGTGTGTGTGTTGGGGGGGTGGGGATAGGCTGTATGCCGAGACCCTTCTAACCCCTAGAGCCAGCAAGTGCTAGAATATAAGCCAGGCTAAATTTCTAGTGAGGTGATAGCCTATGTAATGGGTTCTTAAGAGAACAAAGGAAGTGGCTCAGCACCAGAGGTCAATTGAGTGGGCCCCTCAATTGGCTGGTAGTTAGAAGGACAAAAGTGAGAGTGGAGAGCTGTGAGCTAAAAGCTAGAAGCAGGTGGAAGCCAGAGAGATAAAAGGAGATGCTTGATTTCTGCTTGAATCCAACGATGTGGCTATGGGCGAAGCAAGATCCTTTGGGGGTGTTGATGGTGTGAACCCCTCCATCATAGGTTGCATATATCTGTAAATAAACCATATATCATAAAGACTCCACAGTCCCCACTGTACCTCATTCCAAAGGAGCCGAACCCTGGGTAAGCGCTGTGAACCCCTGGATTCTCACACCGCTCAGCGATTGGGGTGGCATGCCACAATATATTCATATTTATACCTATTCAATTTATTGATCTTTAAAAGCTCTCTTTTTAAAAAAGGCTGTTGCCCATACAGACCTCTTGAGGATTGGGCAGGATATGAATCTCAGGTTTAGAGAAATCATATTTTGCTGTAGCCTAATAAGATCTGAACTATGGATTTGTGTTTAAGCTCAGAAAGCAATTATTCTCACCATGGCTTAATCTCATCAAATTTGTTTTGGCCTTTCCAGGAAGAAAGAAAACAACCACCTCAAAATCATAGCTTTTACTAACAATTGACTCTTGTGCTCTACTGTGAAAGGCTGGTATGAACTTCAAATGTTTTTTTCCCATCTAACATTTTACTTCTTTTGCCCTATGACAATGCCTATATAAGGAACAAAGTTTGGCTCTGTAGGAAAATCCACCTTAATACCTGTGCTTCTGAGTGATTTGCAGATTTTATAATTTCTTCTTTGCTTTGCATCCTTTTCATGTACCTTTGGGTTGGATATGTTACATTTTTGCAGGGAGGGCAAAATAAATATTTCCCATCCTTTTTCCCATTTCAGATAATGGCTTTCGGTTTAGTTTGGGCCGTTTTCAAGAATTTCCCATTTATCCACTAACTGGCCTGTCATGCAGATAACACTCTGCCATAATCCTCGCTCCACTGCTTTGTAATCCACTGAAAGAGATACTCTGCATTGGCCAAGCCACAGGGCAACTAGGTGAGTGAGCCAATAACCCCTTTGAAAAGGGTATTCAGTGATTCAGCTGCAAGACATATTTGCTGTATAAGCGCCACCTGCTGGTAAACCCATTTCACAGCTAACTTGGGAAGCTCTCTCCCCTTGATAATACTGCAAAAACAACACAACAAAAACCCCCAAAATGTCACTTCATGAAGGGGGGGTATTGATCCATTGCCTAAGAAAGGATTAGCTGCTGCTTTATAATCCTCATAAATTGGTACATCACCATCTGTTTTACCTACGGTCCAAATGGGAGGGGGACATTATCCCTTCAATCGCCACCTATTCTTGCAGGCTTTTAATTCAAATGGGAACTGCTTGGCATGTAAAACTTTGATGGAAAAAAATCACTGAATCCAGCTTTTCTGCTACAGTGTTATTAGCAAAATCTGGTCCTGGAATGAAATCTATTAAATACATCTCAATAAATAAATAAATAATAATAAAAAATTCTGTGCTGGGTCATTGACCTGGTTTAGCCTTTAAAATAATTTAGGGTAATTCTTCCTTAGACACAGAATGTCAAGCAAGGTTGATACCAGGTAAAATTCACCCCCCCTCCCCTGTTCATTTCTTTGCTGGAATACTGGGTGCAATGAGTTTAGACTGAAGGCTAAGAAAATGGCCTCAGAGCCCATTATTGGGTGAATTTGGGATTCCTAGATCACAGGGGTACCCATAGGTACCAAGTGTGTCCACCAGTACCTCCTATGGTACCCAAAATCAGAAAAGTTTCAGTAAATGGCTTCTCAAAAAAAAATTCCACATCTGCCTCTCCTACATTGAAAATCACCCCTTAAACATTACATAGGATGTCAGGACTGAATGACTACCTTTCCATTTGTTTACTTCTGAACAGAGGACTCAAAGAGCATCCATCTGTGAGCAAGTCTGCTGGTGCCTGATGTAACCGCTGATGGGGTGAGGACATGCCCACATCATTTTGCATCTCCTTTTCTGGTCTTTTAGAAGTAGCAACCATTATGCCAAACCCCCAACAGCGGCCATTTTGTGTTATGCCATTCCCTCCTGGTGGCCATTTTGTGACTGGCACCCTTGTCATGTTCTCAAAAATCCAAATATGCCCACTGGCCCAAAAAGGTTGGCAGATGCTGCTATATAGTCTCCTTCTTTTTAAAAAGATTTCCAAAGAAAAAAAGGAGAAGGGGGTTGTTTTGTCTTTTACATATACCTTTGTTGGGTGTGTGATACTTTTATTTTACTGTCATTTAACCTGATTTATATCCTACTTAATCCTCAAAATCTCTGAGTAGTTTGCATAAAACAATATAAAAATCCATTTTAAAATACCAATAAAATCACATGTTACAAACAAATTGACCTAAAAATGTATATATCATAATAAAATAAAATTGCATATTGAAATCGCATATCAACATTACATGTCTGGGTAGGCTTGCTTAAATAATTTCTGAAGTTTTTAAAAAATATAGTCTTCAGTATCTTCTGTTCTTGAAGCATTAGGTTACTCTGAAAGGAACAGTTCCCTCTTGAGTCCTCCCTGGGTACAGTGCCTGTGACTATCAGCCTCAATCACATTCGTATATAGCACAAGGTTCATTTCTTAGTTTTTTTTCTCAATACAAAAGGAAGGTATAAACCGGCTCCAGGGAACTCCAAGGCTGGCAAAAGTTCAAACAAAATCTTATTAAAAGGACTCTGAGTGAACCCGGTGAGGACATGGCATGCTCAGTGACCATGGACTGCTAACTGACCAATAAGAGGAGGGCAAGGGGTGAAGTTGAGGATCCTGGAAGAAAGCATCACTGATTGGCTGAGACACTGAACAGGAGCACTCCCTGCTGCAATATTTTGCTGCAGGACTCGTTTGTCCCAACCTGTGTCCCGTGATTCTTGCATAGCTTGCAGTCTTTTAAAGGTATCATAAAGGTAAAGGGACCCCTGACCATTAGGTCCAGTCGTGGCCGACTCTGGGGTTGCGGTGCTCATCTCGCTTTATTGGCCGAGGGAGCCGGCGTACAGCTTCCTGGTCATGTGGCCAGCATGACTAAGCCGCTTCTGGCGAACCAGAGCAGCGCACGGAAACACTGTTTACCTTCCCGCCGAAGCGGTACCTATTTATCTACTTGCACTTTGACGTGCTTTCGAACTGCTAGGTTGGCAGGAGCAGGGATCGAGAAATGGGAGCTCACCCTGTTGCTGGGATTTGAACCGCTAACCTTCTGATCAGCAAAGTCCTAGGCTCTGTGGTTTTACCCACAGCGCCACCCGTGTCCCGGTAAAGGTATCATATCTTGGCGGGGAGGGAGAGAGAAAAGTAATGCACTATGTGGATTTCTTATTTCCCCTTATTTTAACTGCCATGTCTGATTATTAAATGCACCTCCAAAATCCTGAGTTTATTCTTAATGTATTAACTCTCAGAGTTTCTTGCTCTCGTATTTGTTGCTCACCCACCACACTTCTTCTTATCCCATGGAATGATGTTCATGCTAATCTATCCAAATGAATTCTTGTTCATAATTAATGCACTATGGATATGTTGTAAGACACAAAAACAGATCAAATTAGCATGATGGACTCTGGCACTATGATTAGCCTGTGCAAAGAGACATCACTGATGAAACAGTATGCATTTGGCCATTCTCCTGAAAAGCAGTCTTGTTAAGTTTTCAGAATAACAGTACTAATATTTTTAAAGTTTATAATAGCTGGGAGTTTTTACATTTTATTTCCTGCAATGATACAATGAGTGGTTTCTTCCCAACCCCCTGGCCCTCTGCAGGTCTGTTAAAAATGATTGCTCAAAGCAGAAAGCAGCAGTGAATCGAAACAGTCTATGCAAACAGCCATAGAAGTATTATCATACCAAAGTGTTTTACTGTCTCTTGCAAATTAAGTAATTCTACCCTGTGGAGGGACCAATTAGTTACAGTCAATTAAAAGCTTGTAAAATCCAGCCATATTGGTTTATGTTATGGGTGCAATTGATTTCCCTTTTCTTTTTTTTTATTTCCCCCCTTCGACAAGGCCATCAAACTGAGATGCGCTACTGAAACTCGTTTTTGGTAACTGTTCTATTGTCTTGTGAGACAGAAAGATGACTTGGCTAATCATCTCACTGTAGACTTTATTCAATATTGGCAAATGCAGCACTTTTGGTGAACACTTTCAGCAGAGTCAAAAAAAACAACCCCTTTTGCTGACTTTGTTTTAGATTTGCAATGAAAGCAGGCAAAGCAAGTGCCCATTGAGAATGAAGACAGTAATTCCTGAAGACTGGTCCATTTGCTCTCAAGGACCTCATCGCATATGTGTGTGGTTGTGACATTGTTCCATTTACGTTCAGATCTGCTATTGAATGAGATCACTCGTTCTTCTCCCAGGAAGAAGAACCCATAAACATAAGGTAAGATTGCTAAGCAGTAGCAGATCAGTAAAACAATACCAACATTGAACTGGTTCAATGAAAGCTGAGTATTCTCAGCATTAGGGGGTTTGCCTGGAAATATCTCAGCTCCCCCCCCCCCAGAGAACTACTTTCACACTGAAACATAAAACAGGCAAACATTAACCCGATTGAGAAGCGCCTCTTTTAAAAACAAGAAGTGCTCTTTTATTAATATATTAATATCCCCATTCATTTCAATGGGAATTGTGAAGAAGCTCCCACTGGGTTATACTATCTGTCATTTAAGCCCAAGTCTCTCAGGTTTAATTC